GAGAATTCAAGCAGATGAACATCAACAAACTGAATAGGTATTGACTGCAATAACAGTGGTCTCAATAGTGGGGTTAGAGAAATTACACAATAAATTGGGACTGAAACTGGTGGTCTTAAAATGATCATGTTACAATTAACATAAAGAACGAAAATTTTGTTCTTTTAAAAATTGTTCTTAATAGAGGGATGGCCTTAATTTCTGGTGGTCTTAAGTAGGGACTCTACTGTTATGTATTCTGCAATTTCTGACGAACGCGTTAGAATCGCCCTGAGAGCGCAATGGTCGCTGTGACATTGCCGTGAAGTCGCAGTAAGAGCGATTAAGAAAAATAATGCGCCATACACGTGGTAACGGCGATACAACAACGCTCTTATCATAACGCCGAGTGACGGCGTTTGTTTTGAGCATGCTTGAAATGCGTGCCATTGGTTAGCGTTCTGTGTGATGCCACTGCGATGCTGCAGCGATGTTTGCGATCTTACTGAGCTCACCTCGGCGTTCAGAATATTTTTAGACGCCGTGAGAACGGCGCCCTAGTGTGACAGGGGTTTCGTGTTGGGATTCACCGAATATACATTTTTTATAACGAAAGAAATCAATCCCTGTAATTTGCCCTGAACATTTAGTTATGTCACGTTTGTTATAAATGTGTAACGGAATACTGTCCCCTCCATATGAATACACCGTAAAGAAGACACAGAACATCGTGGTAAGGTTTTGGTGCTTTACTGAAATGTTCACCCAGAACATGATTATATGATTCTAGCGTTGTTTTTTGAACTAATAAAACGAAGAATTGATTAAATTATTCTACCATATTTTTAAAAAGTACATCGTTACGTGATATTCAGATGGTTTTTCCATTGTTTCAAATAAAAGGGCATAAAATTACCAGCCGACATATGACAATCATAATCTTCGGATATAAAGAAAGGAAATTTTAAGTTACGACTTATATCAACAAATCAATTGTTTTCGCTAGCGACTTATAATTAACCCAATAATCTGAAATCGGCATGCTGATAAGATTACTTCGTAGCGTCGGGAAAACATCATTAAAATTTCAAATCAAGTAGAATGATCCAGCTTTAAAGGGTATAAATCTATATCTTATGAAATATTATGATAACATTTATTAACAGTAAAATTATATTGGTTTCATTATTTTATGGTTGATTCCCGAAAAAGTTGTAACATAGAATGTCTCTGTTATTCAACACACGTGAGTAATGTACGGAAACTGAATAAAATGTTCCGGAACAAAATATTATATGGCTATTTTAAGTAGGGTTTTATACGGAAGCCCTGGATGGACATTTATTATTTAAAAATTATTACTTATTACCTATTTTTTTATAACTTCTCAAATATTACAGACTATTACTTATATTTAGTATTGAACAACGACATGGTTGGCAGGAAAACTTTGTTTACATCAAGACAATTACTGGAAAAGATGAAGGAGAACATAATTTATAGAAGGTCATATAATGCGGAAGTCCTGGAAGCAAGATTATTATTTATTACTTATTATTTATTACTTACTATGTTTAACATAGTTATCAATTATTATCTATTACTTATCATTAATAACTTACTTTTTATCAATTTACTACTTATTTCAGTCGAATATATCTTAGTAACATAATAATTTAAGAATTATTCAGTATTAACATATTTGTTGCATACACTCGTATAATCAGACTACAACATACACAGATTTTAAATGATATATTCAACTGAAATAAGTAATAAGTGATAAATATTAAGTTATAAATAATAAGTTATAAATAATAAGAAATATATTATAATTGATAATTATGTTAAACATCTTAAGTAATAAATAATAAACATTAAGTAATAAACAATTATTTTCATTCCAGGGCTTCCGTAATATATGACCTTAAACAAATGATGTTCTTACGGTTCCCCTTCATCTTTTCCGTTAATTGTATTGATGTAAACAAGAGTTTTTTCCTGCCAAACATGGCGCGTTTTAATACTCAATATAGTAATAATCTGTTAGTAATAAGTTATAAGTTATCAATAACAGGTAATAAGTTTAAAATAATAAATGTCCCTCCCGGGCTTCCGTAGTTTTATCCGTGTGCATGCACCACTCGCTGTAAGACAATATATTGCCAGTTTCATTTCATACAAACATTTTGGAAGTATTTAATTTTAAATCCAAATGATATTTTTTGCATCATATATATAATTATCAGATATCAGCTTTATACACTTTAAGGCAACACAATATAATTCACCAAAATCGAACTTTTGATAACCGTTTTCAGGTAAATGGTTTGACACAATTGAACAATTTCTCGTCTAGTGTAAAGTAGTAATCTAGATGCATGGATAATTTAACAACTATTGTAAAAATATATATAACGTTCCAACTGACGACCAACAATCACAGGCTTATTTTCATATTTATTTACATTATAAGCAGGATACTTTCCTTTAAATTTTATCTCGCCTGAGCTGGCTGAGACTGAGCTATTTGGATTGTTGCATGTCAGTTAAAATATGGGTCATTTGGTGTCAAAAACATGGCCAAATATGAACAAAAAACATTGTTATCGTTTTAGAGGCTACTGTTTTGGTCCAAATATCCTTGAAATTAGTCAGAGAGTATTTAGCTGCTTCCTAGTTAAAGTTCGAATTTTAGACATCTATGGTCAAAAATGAGGTCAAACTGCCAAAATATGTGAAAACATTTTTTGCATTCTAAAGGTTATGTTTATCCTGGAAATTTCTCAGAAATGTTGTTTTGATGATTTCTAGCTCAAGTTTAAACATGGGTCCTCCGAGGTAAAAATTTAGTTAACACTGAATAATAATGGAAAAATCTTGAAATCGCTCTAGAGTTTACATTTTTAACACAAATATTCTTGAAATTTGTCAAAAGGTTGTTTGTATGATTTCTAGCTCATATTGAATAATAAGATGACACAAAAGCCCTTTTGTTTTCTTTTATCTGTCATTTTTTGTCTTACGTGACGGAGGGGTGCTCTTTCAGTGTTGCAGAAATTGCAGTCCCTTGTGTGATCGTTAGAGGCGACTAAATAGGTTAAAAAACTGGACCTGTGCTCCACCAGTTGAGGTGGTTTGACCCCTGGTGTTTAAGTTTGTTACATCCGAGGTTAGCCAAAATCATCTTTCCCTTTTCGGCGTCATATGGTCTTACTGTGTTGCTGCGCCGTTAAACCAAACAACATCTCTGTGTGTGTGTGTGGGTGTGTGTGTGTGCACGTGTGTGCGTGAGTGTGTTATACACATTATATAGTGAACATAAAAAAAATATGTTTGTGTGTACAGATTATACAGTGAACACAAAAATCTTTACAACAAAAACCACTTAACTAAATTCAACAATCTTGCCAGGATTGTTCCTTGGAAGAAGGACTTCCAAAGTTGTTAAAAAAGAATATGAATCCATGCAGAAATCTGGTTGCCATGGCAACCAAAAGGAATTTTAAGACAAATTAAAAAGAAAATCTTCTAAAGACCCACAAGGCATAGTATACAAATAGTTTGCATAAGGCAGGTTCTGGTGTACCTCTACAAATTATTGTCCTTGGGACCAAGCCTAGACCATAGATATTTTGCATGAGACATTTCCTGGTGGACCTCTTCGAAAATTGTTCAAATTGTGATACTTGGGTCAAAATTGGCCCCGCAACGGGGTAATATGTTTTCCATATATGTCTATATAGAAAATATTAAAAGTCCTTTTTTTCGTAAAAACTACAAGGGTTAGAGCTTTAATATTTAGCATAAAACATTGTCTTGTAGGCCTCTATTAACTTTATTCAAATGATAGACCTGGGGTTAAAATCGGCCCAGACAAGTGGCTTACCAAGCCTACAACATTTTCAATTTTGCCGTGTTGGGCTTTCTTTAGGGATTCTATTAATCTCTGTTATGTTTTATTCTTATATGAATTAAGCAAAAATTGAAAAAAAAAAATCATTCAAAGCAACATTGACCAGAGCTTAGATATTACCAAGCTTAGATATACCAAGTATTTTTTACATTAAAGCCCTTGGGTCAAAATTTACTCCGCCTAAGGGGAAATGTGTTTTTTCATGTATATAAATACTGAAAATATTAAAAACTTGTTTTTTTCAAAACTACAAGGGCTAGAGCTAAGATATTTAGCAAAACACATTTTCTTATGAATCTATGTTAATGTCAAACAAACAATAATCCTGATGTCATAATTGGCTCCGCCCCGGTGGTATTGTGTTTTTCCATATAATGTATATAAGAAAAAATATTAAAAATCGTCTTTCTTCAAAATCAATATATAATTGTTTATTTCAAAACTACAAGGGCTAGACCTTAGATATTTAGCATAAAGTATTGTCTAAGGTTATCAAAATTAAAACTTTATAATCGAAATTTTGCCTGCCCCATTGCTTTTCCTCAATGTCTATTACACATGGTACATGTTATGCAATTTTTCCTAAAAAGGAATCAATAGCTTGGAGTTAGTCTAAAGGTCATGACATATGGCAAGAGAGATGTATGCTTTTCAGAGGTATTTATGAAATAACTTAAGTCATGAGTCTAGCAAAAAGGTTGATTCTTTGCAGGGATATTTCTTAAATGATTTAAGCAACACGCTATAAAAACTTATTTTAAAGTTTAATCAGCTATTTGACACAGTAAATGCCTAAAAGTTCTCTTATTTGACATGCCAAAAATATTACCTTTCCACCAAAATTCACTGTACTCTTCTACTTGCAAAGTTCAATTGCACAGAAACAAACAAAATCTACTTCAGTTTCTACTCTCTAGTGTTGTATGAATGCGGTGGCATAGCATTTTTGTAAGTTACGCTAACTAAGTCATTATTATTTTTATAGCGTTACCCAATCATTTATCACAATTTGCCTTCAACTATCTCACCTGACCTACTTGCTTGTATATGAAATTTCATTTTACAACTTTTGTAAATGAGTGATTTTGATAACATACTAAATAAGAAACAAAATATTATCTTACAGATTATTTCGTGATACGGGAAAAAAATCCTTGCTGGCCATCAGTTGTAGATCATGGACTACATTCCATTAACAGAGCGTGGAGACGAACTGCAACGCGACGAAGAACAAACAGAACCAAAACTTCACTTTATCGGGAAAGTATGATATTCGTCTTTTTTAATCTAGTAAATGTATTGTTAGAAAATCGGGCATATGGAATCTAAAAACTTTTTAAAACTTACAATATTTCTCTGTTGCTATAAAAATTCATGCCTATATTTCGGTAATTTGAGACGCAAAACGTATTGATTTGTTTTACACATACAAACCTTTTCGTTTTTGTTCATATCTGCAAACACTTATTTATCTCCAGCCGAAGGCCCAAACTGAAATTATGCAAATTTCATTGGCCATTCTTAGATAAAATGTAAGGAATAGTTCTTGTCACTCTTAGATAAAATGTAAAGGATAGTTAATAGAATTAAATGTAAAGGATAGTTCTAAAATTAAATGTTAAGAATAATTCTAAAATTAAATGTAAAGGATAATTCTTATGCTTTCTAGTTAACTTTCTCAGATATTGTAGTTCTGTTTTACCACACTAGCTCCCACAAAATATGTAACACTGGATTTAGATTTCAATAAATGTTAAAGTGAATATTTTATCTTACATCAGAACGTACTGAGTTTATTACACGCCAAACTTTAATGTATTTTGTCCAGAATTACGAGGCCACCAAAAATCCGAACTCATTAGGTACCTCAGTTATTATGTTCAATAAGTGTCTCATATATTATATGATCATTGATGTGTTCAATTGATAAAATATGTATAATTTTCATATACGAGGTATGATAAAAAAAGATCTCGGCCCGATATACTTCTAGCCACTACACAGACATTTACAAACGATTATTGAAGATTACTTACCGAGTTACACGCGGTTCTATACAGATTAAGTAACATAAAACACTTAGATCAGTAGAGGTGTGTGTTATATAGACAAAATGGAAAAGGTTGAACTCAGAGCCGTCATTAATTACCTCTGTATGAAAGGAATGTCCCCCAAGGAAATCCAAGAAGACTTCATGGATACACTTTGGAAGGAGTCCCTTTCCTATAGCTCTGTGACAAAATGGGCTGCTAAATTTTAAAGGGGCAGGGTGAGCATTAAAAATGATGAGCGGCCTGGGCGGCCAAAAAAAGGCACCAACGATGAAACTGCCGAAGCTCTGCACGTGGTCTGGTCACGTGCGACAGAAGTCAAGACCTGCGAAACATTGCTAGGGAAGTGGGTATAAGCTTTGGTTCTGTTCAGGCAATTCTGACTGATGTCAATGGCATGTCAAAGGTTTCCGTTAGACGAGTCCCAAGACAATTGACTGACGACCGGAAACGGACCAGGCTCGACATTTCAACATATCTTTCTCGCTACCAGGATGAACCTAATTTTATATATCTGATAGTAATTCAGGATGAAACATGGGTCCATTACGTCGATCCAGAATGCAGGGGGAGCACCCTTGGTCATCCCCATCGAAGAAATTCAAGAGAGTGTTATCAGCAAGGAAGATGATAGCTTCAATTTTCAAAGAACATACCGTAAACGATACGTACTATGCAGACGAATTAAGATGTCTGCGCCAAGAAATCGCGCATATAAGGAGGGGCAAACTCACTCAAGGCGCTCTGATACTGAACAACAATGCGCCAGCTCACATATCCCAAGTTGCGATGGCTGCTGCCACTGACTACGGCTTTGAAATTCTTCCCCATCCTCAATATTCTCCTGACTTGGCCCCCTCTGACTTCTACCTGTTTCCGAAACTTAAAACGAAGCTTCGTGGTAGACGTTTTGGAAGCAATGAAGGTGTCATTGAGATGGTCAATGAGTTCTTTGAGGACCAAAATAGAGAGTTCTATTTTGAAGGATTAAACAAGTTGGAGCACAGGTGCGCAAAGTGCATTGAAAAGTAAGACCATTAGTTGTGTTCTCTGACTACCGGAACTGTTTGATCAATCTTTGTGTTGTTTGCATATTACGCAAATATTTATAAATATAATTGCATATCGATATCGACTGCGTTGATGTTGGTGTTATGACTTGAGTTCACTTACCGAAACACGACAGGTTCATTTAGCAACACATCTTTGAGTGCTCCATTTTTCAACGTGAATACATCCAGTTTTGATTTATATTATCCGTAACTGCTCCAGCCCTGATGTTATGTCCGTAACTGCTCCAGCCCTGATGTTATGGCTTTAAAATAATACGAAAATAGATTCAAATATGGATCATATAAAATGTCATTTTTACAAATTATGTCACATTCTATATAACTCGACACATATTGTCCTAACACATTATGATATCTGCATGAAGGGAAGCGGGTGACTTTTGTGATACAATGTAAGTTTGATCAAATTGACATTTTCCGCTTTGTTGTTTTTTAAGCAATTTAACTACATAAATACATGTATGTAAATACTATAACATAGAGACTTAAAACAAAGTTATATATTCAAGTTAACATATTTAAAATATACAAATCGATGTTTCGGGCTAAAAACTTGTTACATGATTTTTTACACGTCAAGACATTGTAAAAGATAATGTGATTTACAAATTTTGCAATTTATTTTATCAAGGACAGAAGTATATATTCTGTAATGGTCTTGTTATACAGGCTGTCAAGATATCTAATTTTAAATATATTTCAAATAAGTTTTAACATGTTAGATATGTCTAGCATTTTCAAGATCATTGAAATGGAAATTAACGTTATGTCAATTAATATATCCTCCAGTACTTTATTTCGACGCATCTTAATTACGACGCCATTTTTGTTTTGATCTCGATTTCGTTTTGGGGTTTCCGTGTGACGTCATTCCCGCGCTTTTTTGTAAGTTAACATTTCGGTGATTTCTATCAGCGAAAATGTGGAAAGTAGGCGATTTTGACGTAATATTTTCGTACTTTTTAATAAAAACACTTAAAAATGGTGTTTTTTTCTTATTACTAATTTTGTATAATTTTGAAAGTATAGTTTTCTCAAAATTGATAAAATGACAGTCGGACCAGCCGACACCCTAACTCGCCGCTATTTTTTAAAAGCCATGAGATAGTATTATGACATGGTATGTGACCACCAAATATATAATTCACTGTGTAGGAAGGTGTACTCGTTAGCTCATTATTGTGTGACTTTATGAATGCATTTATATTAAAGTTTGTATTCTATTAAGTTCTTTTCTTGTTATGTTGCTTTATTATTAATATTATCTATGTTATTTTTTACAGATCCTGAAGTCAAGATCAGGAATTATTCACCAACTTCAATGACAACAGCTATTTATTTTTTTTTAAATGCAGAGAGACATAATTACTGCTTGTCAATATGCTGTATTGTATATCTGCTACTGGCATAAATTCAGCATTGCTGAATGGTAGTACTCCTGTGACAGATCGTACTGTTTCAGAGAGTGATTGAAGCATATGATTAAAACTATATCTCCAATCACATCTGATTTCTTCCAGAAAGGTCTGAATCTTGCCCAGTTGTTATATTTTATGATCATAAGCATATATCACATCAATTTCAATATTGTTCAATGGGCAAGACAAGAAATGATTATTTTACTTATTCACTTGCTCATACATGCAATGTTCTACAGCCCATGGATATCTATAGGTTGTTTCAGGCCTTTGAAAAACATTTCAATAGGTGCGGACATAAATTTTGAGAGACCTGTCTTGTCAGGGTCTTTCAAATAGAAATTATATTTGAAAGACCCTGGTCCTGTGGAAGGTCAATCACTAAATTACATAATGACATATGTAAGCTTGAATTCAGTGCCTATTTAAATATAAAGCACTGTTATCCAAGATTTTGCAGTCTGTTTTCAGAAAGCCTTTGAAAACCAGTCTAACTCTTCTCTTTCACTGATTAACAGCAAGAGAAATCTCAGTCAGAAGATGCAGCCAGCCAGGACCAGGATTTAAACCTTCTTTCCTGCCTGAAAATGAGCCACTCATTGAGTCTGACACTGCTCCTGTTATATCTGAAACTGTCTCTCCTGCTTCTTTTTTTCTTGTACAAAGAAACCTCACTGACATGTAAAAAGCCACCTACTAATGAAAGAAAATATTTTAGCACAATTGTGAGTGGTAGGGCAATAAAACGGATGTTATCTTTGTTGTTTTGGTGTACCTGTAATCATTGTAAAGCATGTTTGAATTTAGACTTCTCAAAAAACTGAAATCCTGATTAACTGAAATAATTGTCATCTTTTATTTATTTACTTTTGTGCTTGAAATGTTTCGTGCTGTTTACAAAATTGCTGTACACCATTCTCGCAGTGAAAAGGAAGTGTACTTTCGTTTTAGTAAGATTAAATATAGAAACCAATCAAATGCGTCGTTTCTCTGTACTCTCATATCCGCCATATTGGAAATCTATGCTTGTCATATTTTGATTATTTTTGTGTTAACGATAGTTTTTAGTTAATGAAAAACGTTGTAAAAGATGAAGAAATGAATAAATTTTTCACTGCTTAGGTAATTTGTTAGTTGTCACCTTATTTTGTTACGGTAAATAGTGATTGTTTCTTAGGTGCGTCGGAACTACGTACACCAGGATATAGCGTAGATGATTTACAGTTATGAATGAGTTATTATTTATGAAACTTAAATATTGGTAGTTGTCAATATGTATATTATGCACGTCAAGGTTCACTGCCCTAGCACCAAAATTATAAGAATTACCACCTTGATTATAGAATGTTCATGACAAAAATGTTGGTTTTGTATAATTTCTTTATTTTAAGGTATCTCCGTCAAACTTTAACACCTGTGGCTTATTATGTCCCTTTTTTCCGCGACATTATTTTTTTCATTAAAGGATTTATTCCAAACACCCACATCATACTAATGACAAGATTTATAAATCTAGCGTCCTGTTCTTTCAGATTTATATCCCCCTTAAACATACATTTCTCTTAATTTATTATATGACTTCCTTATTTCTTCATGGATTTACTTCAAATTATATACATATATATTTTTATTATCAATACCTTCATCATATGAGATTAGATTTAAAAGTCTAGCATCTGGGTTTCCATGATTATTTTCATTTTGAACTTGGAATCTATTTGA